TTTGGCTTATTTATTGAGGCACGCCTCTAAAGTTTAGTTTTGGCCTTCCTGTTTACTTGTTTAGGCTGTTTATTCTAATCCCACCTAGCCTAGCCTATTGTTTCTAATCATGCTTGCATGACATTCTCACTTTATACTATCTAGCTTTTTCAACCCTCACTCACTCGCCACTGAGGAAGGACTAGTTTTGTCCGAAAGCTCTGGTTCTATTTCTGGCTGTTTACTTACGTTTACTTTTTAGCTGTTGCTTATCATTTTTGTATCTCTACTGAGATTCAGCCATTGTTTCCCACAGCATTGTTGTTTTCCAGTATTTTGCCTATATATATATACATTATATGAGCACCTATAATCAGGGTGGGAGAGGGTGAGGCATGTAATTCCTACTATCAACCAGAGGGCAGTGTAGAACCACAACCAAACTTCAACTTACAGGTAAGTCTCGTTTAATTGTTTAATTCTACACCGCCCTCCAGGCTGATGCAGGAATTCCATGGGATTTCAAAGCAACTGGAAACAATCCTGTTGGCTGGATATTCTACACATAAACTAAAACAAAAAGTTTATTCACGTTAAACGAAACTTACAAGGGAACTTGTAAAACACCGTAACACAACAAAATATTAGGCCTTGATCAAATCTCCTATTATTGAACTGCAATGTGTTATAACAATAAACCCTTCAACGTGCCCTCTTTAGCAATAGCCCTGTCTACTTTAATTTCAATCTACCAATAGCAAACTGGAATTCTCAAGTTGTTTTAATCATACATGTTAAATCTAAGCAAGCCAAGGTTTGGGCCCTGCCCGCTGTCAACAATGCAACCAGTGCTGCCACCTTTAGAGTTAATGTTTTTAGTTGCATATTGGTGTTCTTACCTAGTGAACTAATACAATCTAACATTTATCTTTCCAAACTATTATCTGTGACAGCGCACTCCTTGCGGTGTTAATCGCACTATAGCCTAAGCCTTGGTCTAAATGGAGTATTGTGGGGAACTCTAAAACTGATTCTATAGGGGGTTCAACATAATTAATTTTTCGTTGGATACAAAATACAAGCTACTTTCTGATGTATACTGAATACTGTTTGTGGGTTCCAGGTTTCCACGATTGGAGGAGTAAATTGGTAGTCCTTTGAGAAATATTTCTCTCTGTACATTTCCCTGATAATTTTGCAGCTATCAATACCAGCTTCTTGTCGTACTCCAGTGTTAGCAATGAGTTCATCTTTGGTAGTATTATGGGATTGTCCATCAGTAGGTCCACAAATATCGTAAACCATGGTTGGGTTGGCCATAATGGCACAACAAGCACTGCCTTTGCCTCCTCGGTCCTTACATTCTGTAGGACTCTTGCAATTAGGCTAAAAAGGAGGGAGAATATAAGCTGTAAAATTACTCCATCTTTGGGAGAAGGCATCAACAAATTCTGCATCTGAATCTCTTTTCCAAGCAACATATTTTTTACATTTAGCATTTAAACGAGATGCAAATAAATCAATATCAACATTTCCCAATTTTCCAATTATGCTATTGAAAATATTTTCATTTAGAGACCATTCACAACAGTCATTGAAATTTCTACTCTCAAAATCCGCAAGTGTGTTCTGAGAGCCTGGGATATGGGTTGCCAATAAATCAGTGTGTAATGCACTACACTACCTCCAAATTTTGTAAGTTAATTAATTCAACTCTTTGTTTTCGGCCTCCCTTGTGATTTAAATAAGTTAAAGCAGTAGTATTATCCATTAAGAGCCCAATTCTGTTTCCATTAATCTTCTCTTTAAATGACTTTAAGACCAAGAAAGCCCCCAATAGTTCCAGGTGATTAATATGCAGAGATTTTTCCCGCTCAAGCCACCTGCCTCCAACTTTCTCATCTCCTAAAGCACCTCCCCAACCTTCATTTGAAACGTCTGAAGACAGTATGATATTTGGGGGAACTTCAATTATATTTTTGAATTGGTTACTAATTCCTGTGGTCCACCAACTTAAATCTCTCTTCATTTTATTTGTAATACACATTTTAGCATCAAATTTGCCCTTGTTTCTTTTTAAGGCTAAATCTTTTGCGAATTCTAAATTTCTGTAATAAAGGGGCCCCATATTCACTGCTGGGAAACTTGCCACAATGCTACCAATGACTTTGGCTACCCCTCTAATCGTATCATCTTTTTTGTTAATCATATTTAGACACATATGTTTTATACTGTCCTCTTTTTCATTTGGTAAAGTAAACTTCATTTCTACTGAATCAATAATAAAGCCTAGATGCTGTATTCTTTGGCATGGATATGTTATAGATTTGTCCCAATTAACAACAAACCCCAGTTCTAGCAATAAAGAGAGAACTACTCCTATAGACTCTTTAAGTTTTGTTTCTGTGTTCGCAATTATTAGCATGTCATCCAGGTAGCCTGTGATGGTATGCCCTTGTTGTTTCAGTGTTGCATATACTGGTTTCATAAGTTTTGTGTACTTCCTTGGTGCACAGGATAGTCCCTTTGGAAGACATGTGAATTGATAAAGCTTTTTATCCCACAGGAAACGAAGATATTTTCTATACTCTTGCGCTACCGATACCCCATAGTAGGCATCCTTTAAATCTATGGATGCCATAAAACAGTGTGGGGAGACCAGTCGTAATGCCGTATCAAACGACTCCATCTTAAAATGATGGTACTCTACATGAACATTAAATTCTTTCAAGTTAATATTAATCTGAACTCTAAATTCTTTTTTTGGAACAACGAAAATCGGTAATGTGTGTTCACCTGGCTCATGTTGAGCTATTTCAATTACCTGTTTCGTGATAAGCTTAGAAATTTCTTTACACAACACGTGGCTATGCACTGAATTTGATGTGGGTTGTCTGACAGAGATTTGCATGGGAGGACATTCAGGATCTCTAAATTCTATTGTGCATCCTTTAACAATTTGAAGTATCTCTTCATCTGAAGTTATACTTTGCCACTTTGGCAAATTATGTGCAAGTCTCCCTGCCTTGAATGTAGCAATGTTATAATCTCTTACCCGAGTCTCTACTCTCTTTTCAGTCCACCTCTTTTTCTTCTTGAGCGTGACCTGATAAGGTCTGTTTCCTTGAGGGTAACCTGGATTCTTGTAATGGGAGGGATAATGATTTGTCTAACCAACCCTCCCTCTGTACGGTAAAAAATGCTGTCTTTGCCTGTAAGGGTGATATCGGATATTTTTATTGTCATATGCACTCTGTGATGCCATAACCCTGGTTTCTATCTTTGATTCAGTGATCAGCTTTGCAAGATTATCTCCAAATAGGAATTCTTTCCCTGGCTTATTTGCCCTTGTGCAAGAATTCTTTAACTCATTACTTAATAGAGGTTTAAGCATATCTCTTCTCTTAATAGAGAGTTCAGTATGCACATGCCTTAATAGAGCGACAGACTCTAAAAGATTTGATGCCATGCTCTTAAAATTGAGCTTAATCTTATCATCCTTCACTTTGAGTAGGTCATCCAAGAAATGGGCAAGGGTACCAGTCACTCTGATAATGCTGTCTTGTAGTACAGACATCTGCAAGTCTTTCCTCTTTTGAGACCCTTTAAGTTTGTCCCATATCTGTGTGTTTACTTTTGGGACAGTCAGTCCAGTACAGTTACTTGGGATTTTATGTTTTTCTAAAATTTCCTTTCTTTTTTCCAAGCCAAAATCTACTGAAAATTTGTCATTAACAATTTGTGCTAGCTTCTCTGAAATGGGGGGGCCTGTCATATTCGATGGTCTCAGTTCAGCGTCTAACTGGTCTAGTAGACCATCCATTTTATTTTCATCCTCATCATCAGAGGCGACACTACCAAAATCACCCCCAAAATCACCCCCAAATATGCTTAAGGCATCATCAATAGGCTGTCCAAGCATAGCTTTATCTGCTGACTGTGCAGCCGGTATAGGTATTTTTGCTGTCTCTGCAGCTGTAATTTGTGCTGTCTGTGTAGCTGTACCATGAACTGAAGCAGATACTCCATCTCTTCCCCGCTTTGTTAATTGCATTAACAATTCATTAGTAGCCTGCATGCTTTGTTGCATGCCTGCGAGTATTTCTACTAGGCCTAAGCCCTCGGCGCGCGCCTCGTCACCTGCTGCTGGTCAGAATAATAAAGTGTACCTAGCTTTCGTGACTATAGCTTCGAAAATTTTTCAGAGAAAGTAAAACTTCGTCTGGTCGTCACACAAACGAACACGACTGGTTTACGCTTGCGCGATCACATCCCATGAAATTCCTGCATCAGCCCGGAGGGCAGTGTAGAATTTGGATATGGTTTTGTAGTCAGATTTGCGAGAAAAACTTCAGCTACCCGTATTTCCCGACTGAGACGTCAGTGGGAGCTGCAATTTGTATGGCAAGGAGATTGAGCAACCCTTCATTCATACAGTATTAAGGGAATTCACGCCCAGAAACTTTGTAGTTATTAATATTTTGGTTATAATAGAAAATATTATTCATTTTTTGGTGACGTCACACTCACATTAGTTAGCATGCATACGTCATAAGCTAGATACGTCACCTTTTCCTGGTAAGGCTAAACTTTCCCGGCGTGCTTTTTTCATGGATAAACACCACTGCTTTGCACATGGATGCCTTGCCCAAACCAGGGCTACAAGAGCCGCATTGTTAGCATTGTATAATACTTAAATAAGGTACCTCTGCAAATGAATTATTCTTAGTTTTTTTTTTCTTATTTTAATTTATTTCTTCCGAAAGTGTACTTTTTATCACATATAATTCCACTGTCTTAGTTGTCTTAATCAAATCATAAACAAAGGCAAAATCTGTCTTCTTATCAGCAGGAATTCACAGTTGTCGTAACGATCAAAAGAAACGTTTTAAAATTATTGATAATCTTATCGATAACCACCTGTTCTTCCTTATGATACAACAAAGTTTCTCCACTTTCCTTTCTTCTAACATTGACTGCATTCGTTTTGATTTGATTCACATAGCTTAATCTTGCCACTACTTGTGAAATGAAATGCAACTCAAAATTGGAATCTTTCGTGAATGTTAATTACAATGACCTCCTAAATTTAATTTAATGCACTCTTTATCTCTCATTTGTCTCAAAATTACTTGAGAAATGTTATTCTATTCAGCTAACTGAATTCAATACCTTCAACCTTACTTAGTGTACCAATCAGATTTCAAAACTGGTCAAAGCACCGAGACCGCCCTTCTCAAATTACATGGCTTCTCTAGTTCAATTAATAAAAATAATTTTGTAGTTCTTGTTCTTCTTGATCTCTCTGCAGCATTTGATATGATTGACCATCCAATTCTAATTCAGCCTCTTTCATATAATAATGGTCTTTCCGGCATTGCTCTTTAATTGTTTTTCTCAAATGATCATCAAGTTCTCAACAAGTCTGTGTCCAAGGTACCATTTCAACAACTACTCTTTTAAACTGAGGTGTTCTTTGTCCTTGGTCCGCTATATGAAAACATATAGATCAGTCACAATTTTGTCAATAAATATACTTGTCATTGCTATACTGCCTACAAAATACTTCTACGGTATTATGTGTACAGTCATGGCTTACGCTATACCGCCTTATAACGCCGATGGTCTGCATTGGTAACCAGAGGAACAATGGAATACGTTCAAAGAGGTCTTAGAAAGACTACCGAATTGCAATACAAATAGATAGGAAGCCTCAAACAATCCAAGCCGCTACATTGAAAACTTTTATAGGTCTGGAATACAGAGATCGATTGAAAACACTGTCTTTAACTTAGGAGGAAAGAAAATAATCATGATACAATAATCCCCAAACTGATCAATGAGCATCAAGTAAACCAGAAATACCCTATATGAGAGACACAAATTCTTCCTTGCCCAACAAAAAGCAGATGAATCTGTTGGTGCTTATTATGTATAACTAAAACAACTTGCTGAAAAATGTAAATTTGGTGACATGGAAAACGAAATGATAACAGACAATTAGTCATTGGATCATTGCCGACGGACCGGCAAAAGCAAGAATTTTCAAATTCAATGAAACGGAGGTCAGACTGAAAGCAACGTTGGAGAGCCTGAAAATTAGTTAATCCACCAACGAACAGCTAAGATTTATGCAGCAACTTCCTCCAGTAGAATTTTAAAAAAAGTGTAGAATGCATAAGCACTGCCGGTAAGAAACACATGCAAACTCAAATCAATCCTACAAAACGAGCTACACCGGAAACGTGACACGTGGAACACAACACTAGGAATCCAAACAACAAGAATGCCTGTACAGTATAATTGTACTACTATGCATGCTTTAAGACAATGTCCAGCATTCGGACAGAGCTGCAAAAGCTGCAGAAAGAGAAACCATTTGGCTAAGAATTGTCGAGCAACACAAAACTGTAACAAAATCTAGACAGGCAAACGAGGCAAAATTCACAATATTATTTCTTCAAGAAATGGCGCTACCCCTGATGCCCCTTTGGTCAGATCAGGAAAAAAGGGGGTTGTAAAATTCACTGATACGGCTGAAATAAGTTCGATCACATTTTGAGTAGGTGGGTAGACAAGACGTTCGAGCTTACTTCAAGACGATCGGTCCCAACTGGTCTGGAGTAAAGATTATTTATAACTTCTGGGTACAGGACAGAATTTTAAAAAAAACTTCAATAATTTTATGGATTATTTTTAAAATGTAAAATGTGATTTTCCATTTGCACCAATTTAACTGAAAGGCGTATAACACACGACTTTATCTTGATATCTTGATTTTGTTTGGTAAAATATGTACTTCAGCGCTCGAGTTACTTTATATCTTCATAAGCCAATATTGTCAATTTTGACCCTTAACCACGGGGATTTATTTTCCCTTGTTTTTCGTGTACTTTCATATAGGATTCTAATACATACCATAACATTCACCATTAATTCTTAGTCGTTACTCTATTCATGCTACATTCATCCAATAGAAAGCTCAATATTTTAAATACAAAAAAAAAAAAATACATTGCATCATGGAATAATATTGCAAACATTTTATTATTATTTTTTATTATTTATATCATTTATACAGCACTATTTCTTTGTAGATAAAAGTCGCTCCTTTTCCAATGGTCATTGGGTTGCTACTGGTAAACATTGCAGGGGTAGGAAACCCCACCAGGCACCCATTTATACTCCTGGGTTGCAAGAATCCATGCAGTTTGATGAAATTGGGAGGGAATAACATACAGACCTATATGGTCTACTATACATACAAGCCCAACAAGACAGGCCTTTCTCAAGAACACAAGCGAAATGTACAGTACATACAGCGAGAGACTGAAACTCCGGCCTCGATGTTGGGAACCATACGGTTTCCGCTGCACCAAACCGCTTCTGCAACATATAAAACTAGTGTTTTAATTACATTTGTGCTGATTTCATTTTAAAATTAATTGTATTTGCATTGCAAATTGTTGCTGTAAATTAGTTCTAATTCTACTTAGCTGATTCCTTATGTGAATAATAATAGGGGTTCTACTATATTAGGTAACAAGGGAGATATTTGAGCGCCGACGCCTCAACAATCATGAATATATTTATAATTCTCATTCCTGATGTATCCTCTTCTATTTAGGCCCAGCAAGTTTTTCTTTACAAAAAAATAGATAATAACTTTGTGCATAAGGTTTGAAATAAAAAGTAGATCTTACACACAAATCTTTGGTAAGCGCCGACATTGGGTAGAGCCAGCCAAAATTATGGGTACCAGTCAGCCAAAATTTTGGTAAGCGTTTTTAGGTACCTGCAGTTTTCCCTACGCTCCTGAGCTAGAGACCCCGCCGCACCTACTCACCAGCCAGCAGAAAGGTATTTGTCTAGCCGAGACCTGGGTAGACCCCTTCAGGCTTATGAGGCATAGGGCTGTGTAATTCTTACTTTTAACTTAATAATTTGATTTCCAAAAATAACAATTACATAAATAGCGGTGGCAAATTCTAAGCTGGTTCCTGGCGGCGTTTGAAGCTGTTCCAGTATAGTAGTTCAACTGTTGTAATCCGGTTGTATATTTAATATACAGAGCGGCATAATCTATACTAGGATTATATAATCCTTTTGTAAACCTTTTGTAGAAATACCGAGATGATGTCCGGCGGGGTATAGTTTTACCTGTAGTTAAGTCGGCTCTTCTGTTTTGTACGGGGATTCATATGTAAAAGCTCTGGTTGTTTTGAATGCCCCTTTCCATTTCTTTTCAGCATTTTTGCCATGTTACTTGATATTCATATTTTATTTGATGTTTGAATTCATTTGGAATACAGATTACTTGACTTGACACTATTCCATTCTACGTGGAGAGTCATCCGTCCTAAATACCCAAGAATATTATGACAGTAAAATAACGGGGTGGTCTTGTAAACTATAAACTAGAAAATATGTATCAAAATTTATTGGGGAAGTGGTTTGATCAGACACTTCAGGATATAGGCAGTACTAGCTGGTCAAGTCGAGCAAGCAGAGGAATGGTTGAAGCTTATCCAGAAATCAGAATTACCAGGGAAATTCAAAGTATGGTTGTATCAATATGGCATGCTTCATAGACTTGCATGGCTTTTGACAGTCTATGAACTACTCCTTACTACTCTGGAGGCGATGGAGAGGAGGTTAAATAAACATTTGCGGAATTGGCTGGGAATACCACCAAGGTTTACATCAATAGGTCTCTACTTTAGATCTAGGCAGTTGCAACTACCGATGTCTTCAGTGGTAGAGGAGTTTAAGATTGCAAAGTACAGGCTTGTAATGACTATAAGAGATTCTAAAGACATAAAGGTTGGCGTAACTGGTATTGAAATACGAACAGGGCGTAAGTGAACGGCAGAATCGATGAGGATGTAGAGAATGCAGAGAGCAGTTTGAAGTTAAGGGATATCATAGGAAACCTTTGTATTGGCCTATTCTATTCTAGACCCTGTCCGCCAATACAAAGGTTTCCTATGATATCCCTTAACTTCAGTCATTACCAGCAAGGAAATAGAGCCAACAATAAAGAGAAAAGAGACACGGTGCCAGAAGGAGGTCCGTGAGAGGGAAGACAGAGTTAGGAACTGGAAGCACAGGAGGCATGGATGAGAGTTTTGTTTTCGCGAAGAGACACAAACATGGCTGTACTAGTAAACAGTCTATGCTGGGTCTGTGTAACAGACACCTTTTTTCACGCTAATTAACAAGTTAATTAAAGTTAAGAAAAGAAGAAAAAGCATAAATTGGACATATGGGGGGAAAACATTTTTAAATTCCGATATTTTAATATTGAAATTTACGGTTTCGCAAAGTAGTAGTAGTAGTAGTAGTAGTTGTGGTTTTGAATGAATTGCAAAATATCACTGAGACTAAACGATGCCTGTCTCTTATACACATCTAGATGTGTATAAGAGACAGCCATTAATTCTTAGTCGTTATTCTAACAAGTAACAGGTTGTTGCGAAGATGTACCTTGACTGTCTTTTATTTACCAGGTCTTGGGTTGAAATCACAGTTTTCTGTCCCTTCCCTGTTCTGCCTGATAAAGCACGACATTATTTTCAATAATAAAATAGAGCTCAATACTCTTTAACATCGTTTTTATAGGTAGAAAAACTTGAATGCACAAAGGCCTACTTAAAAGGGTGACTCTTCCAGGTTATCGTAGATGTTAACCTGGAAGAGTCACCCTTTTAAGTAGGCCTTTGTGCATTCAAGTTTTTCTAACTATAAAAACGATGTTAGTTTCTTTTTTAAAAGCTAGAAAACTTTTTTTTTTTAGTGTGCGGATTGTTTAATGTTGTACATCACTTTTTAGAACACAGCCAAACTACAAATATATAATAATAGCACGATCGACACTAGTGTGTGCAGTTAAGTGCCGTTTGATACAATTATGGCATACAAGGATGATATTTCGATTATCGATTAAAATTGTACATTGTTTTTTAATTATCCCCGTCGACAACCAATCCGCCGAGATGTCTCATTCACGCTACCGTTCTTGTTGAAAAAGTGACCTTTCGGTATCCCGTTTCGCGTTCGCTCTAAACAAAAACCCTTGGTGGCAGCACAGTCTGTTGCTACCTTGCTACTGCTGTGGCACGCACTTGGGCCGTGGTGCACAATGTCTAATTTAATGGTACGGAAGGCTAGGGTCTAGCCTAGGACGAAATACATTGATTATGATTATGATTATCTCCGAAAAATACGAGTAAATTTGTAATCAAATAAAATGATGATTTTCCCAAGGTAGTATATAATAATTTAATATAATAAAATATAATTAAATTTCATTGAAATGTTGCAAATACATTCTGTTTCTGCCCCGGTTTCTGCTTCTCGATTTATCGCCCGAGATCAGCGGCTGAATCTCGGGTTGCTTTCGAGTACGAGAAAACTAAAACTAGTCCTAAACTGGTGATGATCATACACAGAATGTGCACTTTTCTCAGCGGATTGGTTCAGAGATAACGAAAGCTCTCTACTAATTGCCTAATTCGTTATTGTAGGCCTACAAAATGTATAAATTCGGTAGCATCAGCTGTATTAAGTAAAATAAAACAGCTTGCCATATATCAACTAAAAATTATCTTGGAGAGACATGTGTTATAGGCCTACTTACCTACAAAAATTAACATTATTTTACTCGTAGATTTTCCATAGTCCAGTCATCATATAAACCAAAATGTGACTTAATAGCAGTATAATTGTATCTCAGTTTTTAACTTTAATTATAATCTACAAATTATTGTATTGGTGAAAAAAACTTTGACATTTCGACGGTTATAACTATTCTTTTAGCGTCTGAGTATGTGCTAAGGGCCTTATCTGCACACCTGAAAAGTGCTGGAATATTGTTGACGCATAGGCCTAATACAAGTGGCCAACTGCCTCAGTTGGATTTTATGTAGGTACTGTTTGATTATCTTGCAGCTGGTTCAGTTCAACAGCAGTAATCATGATTTCTTTTTCTGTAATTATTGTCCATTCTCGTTAATGATGGTTTCTTTACCACCCAGTCTTCTGTTCATCATCTACAATCCTACAATATAAAAGTAAATTTTAAATATATGTTAGTGTGTACAATACAAATTACTGTATAAGCATATATAAACTGTGATATAGTGATACTATAAAAGTCTATTAGCTCAATCAGTGCTTTCATCTGAATCAGTTATGCAGGTAATAAACATGGAAACAAACCTTTGTGCAACTTCATTTGGCTGGATCATCAAAATTGACGTCTTCAATAATAAAAATCACTACTTTTACTTCTGACTCCTCTTCTTCATCATCAACGTATTCTAAATCGCTCGTCTCCTGCTCTGGGTTATCAGAGGAATAGTAAGTCAAAAATGATTACTGAAAATTCGGAAAATATCGTGGAAAACTAAAGAATCGTAATGGATTCGCATGGAACGAGAAGCAAAACAATGAAAACAAGCATAATGATTTAAAGTATATAAACCAAATATTAAAGTAATAGTAACATTGTTACTTTTTAGTGATTTGGGACTTGAAATAAATTTTCATAGGTTGTGCAATTAGACATTTTCTCTTAGTAATACTCCCTGATTCTGCAAAATAGGTTTCTTATTTTTATATTACACAAATATTTGTAATCTTGATTTTATGATTACATTAAAAGGTAGGTTAGAGCTGTGGATGAAAAAAAAAAAAAGCGTGCGAGGTCACGTCTCCGTTCAGCATTAGCTGCCTTTAGTCCGGTCGATAAGGTCAAACAATGTTACAGTGCATGCAAGGTTATTCCCAACTAATATATCGAAACAAATTATACTTATACTTTCAGCCGACAATGTTGTACTGTATGAAGGAAGACGTTCCAAGTCCACTTGATACGCCGTGGTATACCAACAATTGATAACTACTTTTATACAGTACCAGTGAGATTTATAAATGCAATTGAAATCCCTTTAGTAAAATAACATAGTGTTAGCTGCCTCAACGTAGCAGTTTTAATATGCTGATCAAAAAGGACACTGAAACGATTTTACTGGCTTCGGCTGTATCATTTATTCTATATTTCTTGCCATCATATCAAGCCGTGTCGTAAAATTCTGGCAATCAAATAACAACAATCATAATTATTAACATTCAGAAAATACAATCATAACACTAATTAATTAAATGAGGCTTATGTAGTTATTTATCATATTATTATCAACACTGTTCATCCACAGTATCAACTGTAATTACTAATTATTATTATTATAATCGTTTTCATAGGTAAGTCAATGTATTACAAATGATTCCACAGTCGAATGTAGATCCTAGTATAGAGAAATATCATAGTTAACAACAATAACAGTATTAACAGTATCCTGCTGTGCTGCTCAATCAAGCGGAACGGACCCGCATCGAGTGTACGACGACTTTCAGCGAATCATCAATGAAGGAAGTTTAATTCAAACACAATAACTTTAAATTTAAGCCTAGAATGCTTACAATGCAATATCATAAAATAATCAAATTGTTCAACATAGCAATTGTCATGGTGATTATCAATACAATTATGAGTACAAGAAATATAGTAAAATCATCTTATTTCCTGAATATGTTTGCATGGAATGATATAACAATTAACTAGACCTAGGCTACGCCTACACATACATCAATGCGTACATTAATACGAACACCCGACTCCGTGAGAACTCCATAAAGAGCCAAAGCAACACCCGTTTATCTAAATTAAACAAGGCATAATACCACAATATTTCCGCTAACCAGAAAGTACATCAATATGTTCCTTGTATATTACTTAAACATTGAATAAAGAATATTTACCGGTTCAGGTGTCACTGCATCAAAAATCAGACATGTCAATGAGAACATCAATCATTCAAAAGTTTTGATTAATTCAAAATGGATGTTACTGCCAAAGATCTTATAAACACAAGATAGCGTTCTCCGCGATTTACGCGTGCAAATTCTGTAATAAGGCATGAATGGCGCCCTCTTGCTAAATTGGAAACTTTTGACCCTTGACCGCTCTTACCACACTGTGCACCGCGCGACTTTACCTTAGGGTATCAATCCTGTGAACAGCAGAACAGGAACCATCTCAGATCCATGGCAACAGATAGGACGCCCTCTTCCAAAACTGAATACTTTTTCTCTCATAGAGCTATTAAACAACTAGAGTGCTGACAAGATGGCGGAGCAATTCAGAGTTGTGTATGTGTACCATCCAAGATGGCTGCCGTAGGAAAGCGCCACCTTCAGGCTTAGTATACATATTATTACCATAAATAAGCCCTCTGACCGAATATTATTTCATTAATGATAATTAGTATTGATAATGACAAATTATTAAACTGTCGTAGCCAAGAAGAGGTTAAGTAGAACATCTTATTCCTGTCTCTTATACACATCTAGATGTGTATAAGAGACAGCAGTAGCACTTATCATACTACATTAAAACATATTTTTAAGTTTAGAAGCTTTAAATCATTTTCTAGCCCTCCATAGTAAATTCTTTTATCTTTAGTGGACCTATTATAAAATCAAAACCAAACTATTACAAAAAATATAAAATAAAGTTATATAATTAACAAAATTGTACAATGTAGTGTCAAGCAACAGCAGACACAAAATGCATTCTCAGTTAGCAAAAGGCAATTCAACCGCCTCCTTCTCGATGTTGCTTACAAATCACGGTCGCAACCCACAGTTACACTAAACTGACGACCCCCACAGTGCTGTTTATTACACCTGCCTCAGACTTTAACTGAATACAGCAGCACTGATTTGATTACAACATCTACTCAAGAACACAAATCATAACTACCATTCCTCCACAAAACGGTGAAGAACAAAAATGTAAATTATACCCTATCGTAACTAATGAACAATATTATAATGTACACACTTTGCGTATAGCTTAATAATAATAAAAAAAAAAAAAAAAAAACTGAAAATATGAATCGAACAAAGCATCACAAACTTAATATAAAATTCATAACAAAATGTATTATATTTAACGAGTGAATACATTCCTTTAGATTTAGTCGTAGTTAAAACTTCGACTACATTGTTTGTGAATACAAATTGAAGTTAAAGATGCAACTAGCACTAAATGAAGTTCTAGTTCGGAGTTCGACTAAAGTTTGTTTTAAGAATACGGGCGTATATGTTTCTTTGTATTTCACTAAAGTAGGCATGTCAGGCGCAGGCGTAAACAATGCGAAAACAACATCGCAGGAGCAGGGTTCCGATTTTTAAATATTCATTACTCGCCTGATAATTTATGTATCTTTATGTAATAAACACCATTAGATCGCTTTTTATCTCTGCTTTCGTTTGCAGTTTACCCCATCCAAATCCGTTCACTAGTTGTTAAATGAAAGCGAATAGAATTTGGAACGCCACCATCGGACCTGCCGATAAGCGCCGATGTTGTGAACTGGTCTCTTTTTCACAACAGATCAATTCAACCGTGCTCGCCCCTTATTGGTTTCCTATGGAAGCGTATTGCTGCCAACTAAAAAAAATAAAACTTAGATATTATTATTATCTCGTTATTACGAGATATCTCGTAATAACGAGATAATTAATTATCTCGTTATTACGAGATATTATCTCGTAATAACGAGATAATTACCTCGTGATTACGAGATATTGATTATCTTGTTATTACGAGATATTATCTCGTAATAACGAGATAATTATCTCGTTATTTCGAGATATTATCTCGTTATTACGAGATAATATCTCGTTATTGGATTGGTTATTTAGGTGGGCATAGTATTTTCTTCAATTATTTATTTAATACCAATGCGTCTACTAAACTAGCAATACACCATGTCAGCTGGTATTTCTAGGAACTGAAGTGTGTGTGGGAGGGGAGGGGAATGCCAATTGTCCAACAAGTGGGAAGGGAATATACTCTAATAATAATTGATTAATAATATGTGGTTGCAAATAAAAATCATAAACAAACAATTATTCCCACACGAATATACTGGTAATTATTGTAGGTTTAGAATGGAAGAATTTTAATTTAAGTCAAGACAAGTTCCAGAAGACCAAATAACCCACCTTCTAAATGAAAAGGTAAGCTTTGTTTTTAAACTTACCAGTTTTAATCGTACTCAACAACCATAAAGTGAATGGTTGTATGTGGATAATAGCACATTTTTACATGCTTTTTATGATCATAATAATCAATTTTGGGTAGGATCCATGCAGATTGTAGTCGTAATAATAGTCGTATTCATAATAGTTAAAATGTTAAGAAGTCAACAATAACAATAGTAATAATCATTACAATAGTAATAACAATAACAATAGTAATAATGAATAACAATAACAACAACAGTAAAAACAACAATAACAATAATGATAATAATAATAAAATAATGAAACAATGTATTTAGGTAGTGTTTGATTTACTATAATTTTCTCTTATTGACAGACTGACAAGGACACAATTTCACTGTTGACAGACAATGAACTGGCGAATTACCTGCCTGAGGAGGAGACAGACTAGTTGTTTGCCAAAAATTTGGATCTAAGGAAACTAGAAAAAACACATTATTTGAGAAGTTGAAACAAAAAATGCACCTAAGCCAAAAACCAAGGATGAAATCAAGTGACAGCGACTCAGATGGTGAATCATCACATGTGAAATAATGCTTTGAAGAAAACCCGACAAATTGAATTTGGCTGGATCCATGGGGGTAAGCTGGTTAGCCAGAGAACTGGTGGGGGAACCCGGAAATTAAGTGTTGCAAAAACAGCCAATAAAGAGACACTACTAGAAATTGGAAAAGATTAATTTTTTCCAGGAGGTGTGTCAAAACAGTCATATCTAGCAATGTCGGCTGTGACTTTAAAAAATTTTCCATCTAAGCCTACAATAAATACCAGTATATTTGTGTGGGATTTAATGTTTGTTTATGATTTTTCTTAGTAACCACATATTATTAATCATTTTTTTTAGAGTAATATATTCCCCTCTCACTTGTTGGACAATTATTGGCATTCCCCTCCTCCTCCTACACACACTTCAGTTCCTAGAAATACCAGCTGACATGGTGTATTGCTAGTTTAGTAGACGCATTGGTATTAAATAAATAAATGAAGAAAATACTATGCCCACCTAAATAACCAATCCGGGGCTACTGTTGGCTTACTGCCAGATTTGCCCAATTATGCCTAAATAATGGCCTTTGCCAAGCTACAGGTAGGCCTAGGCATCCGCATAGCCTTAGGCCAATGCTGCGTGCATAACGGGGCCTAGCCTAGGCCTGGCTTATTGTCATCATATTATAGGATTAAAACTACCGTACACTGCAATTAAAAATTTAGGCCAGGCCCTAATTAGAAAATGAACAAAAATATAATATGATCAAATTTATGAATAAACACACGTAGGCCTACCATTTTTTGCGAACAAAACCACGTCAAAAAGATCTACGACGGGTCTCTTTCAAGTCTTTAGTCATGTCGTAGGCCTACAACAACGAGTGCGTTAATGATAGTAATACACGTGCACATAATGATAATCCATCAAAGTTTTCTTCATACTTAAATTCACGGCGTGAATTTATCTCGTTATTACGAGATAATATCTCGTAATAACGAGATAATAATATCTAAATTTTATTTTTTTTTAGTTGGCAGCAATACGCTTCCGTAGAATTATACTAAAACACTTTCATTCTAGGAACTGGAATGTTTCTATCATTTTTCGGGTAATTTCTACTGTATATTCAAGTGGAAAAAGGGGCGTATATCCATCCCTTTTCCTCCTTTCCCCTCCCCCCAGTTTTTAAATATTCAAACATCTCTCATTAACCGTTTTTGAGTTTTTTGGTCAAATATGCTGTATGTCAGGGATTGGCATACTGTAAAACTCATTTGGAGGGCCAAAGTGAAATTTTGATTTAACACCGAGGGCCACAGCCAAACTTTGATGCAAATTTATGAATAAACACACGTAGGCCTACCATTTTTGCGAACAAAACCACGTCAAAAAGATCTACGACGGGTCTCTTTCAAGTCTAATAATAATAATAATATCTCGTAATAACGAGATAATAATATCTAAATTTTATTTTTTTTTAGTTGGCAGCAATACGCTTCCGTATTTCTCTCCTTCGAAATATTTTCGGTAAAATCTGACAATATCCCAAATACATTGTATCCGACTGCTAATTGGTTAATTGTGAGACCTTTGCTAATTATGTCTGCATTAGCTCATGTATGCATTAGCTCTTTTCTATTTTGTTTTCAATTTTTTACTTCACTCACCTGATGAAGCTGGCATTGACTGCCAGCGAAAGCTTGTGTTGAATAAATTACATCAAAGTTGGTCTCAGAATGCTGCCTTTTATAATCTATTCCTAATACTGTACTAGCAACTATCATATATTATAATCACATACATAACTATTTATTTGAACTTTATTTACTCCGTCGGAATTAGCAATGTTTAAGGGCCATCCCTGTTGTACTAGTAAACAGCTTAGGCCATGATCCGACGCTCAAATCGTAGGCGCGGGGCGCGCTCGGCGCGTCATTATGGCCTTGGGATAAGGTTATCTAAGCCACCAAGGTTTGTTTATGAACGATTCTTAAACATTAAACATATTTTCTGGTAAAGTCAAGCCATGAAAACAGTCAATTAAAGATAGTAAATACAATGACAAAATAACAACTATCATAACATAAATATATATTTTAAATTAAATTAACAAGGTCTGACAAAGTTCATTAATTTAATATGGATTAGGCTTACTTCTAGACGTTTGATTTAAACTAATAATAATATTTGATATTTTTTATTTTAAATTTTCTTCTAGCAAAGGGAACCACATGAAAAAAAAGCATTAATTGTAGTGGTCCACTTTTCCACAAACTTCATTTATGCATGAATTTTAACAAAGAGTGGAATAAATTTGAATTCAATTGAATTGTTTATATTCAGCAAGGGCCTGCTGACCACCTATGCTGTTTCATTCTGAAAGTAAAATTAAGATTAAATAATA